TATCAATCAGCTTAGTTAAAATATAATGAATACCTATTTACATCTCATAGGAAGACATTCGTATGATTGGCTGTTTAAATCAATTTAATTTTACATTATTTATATAGTTTTAAGTACTTTTTAAAAAAAAAAAATAAAACTACGAAGAATAAACAAAAAAGAAGTATATAGAAAGTTTTATTAGGGTTGTACAACTCCAGTATTAAAAATAATCAAAATCATTTCTGGTTTTAGAGAAGTTAGCATAGTAGCGACTTCTTAAAAATAGGTTATTACCATGCTAACTTATCTAAAACCAGGAATAATTTTGATTATTATTAATACTGGAGTCCTACAACCCTAATAAAACCTTTTATATACTTTTTTTTGTTTATTCTTCGTTGTTTGATTTTTTTAAAAAGTACTTTAAACCGTATAAATAATGTAAAATTAAATCGATTTAAACAGCCAATCATATGAATGTCTTTCTATGATATTTACACCATGAAAATTGTTATTTTACCATGAGTTGCAATTTATTATGTGGCTGAAAGTTATGTGAAAAACATGATAGAAATAAAATATAGAATTAAAAAATACAATTCAGTATTCAATAAGTATGAAATAAATCATTAATAATTCATTTATATAGTATACTTTAATTAGCATTTCGTTGTAAACTTCTATTTTCTTATTAGTATATCTGTCTTGCTTACGATCAGGTAAACCCTATTTCTCAAGGGATCGATGAAGCGAAAATATTTCAACATATTCAGTTCATCCTACTGTGTTCATTTTCACAGATAGAAAATAATTCAAATCTATCAGAAAGAAATGAATAATTTCATCCGTTCTTTTCCACCTTGGGTTTCTTTTTCTTTTCTCACTAGTATTTTCGCTGCCTGTGATTACAATGTTGAGAATTACAAATACCCTAAAAATGCCCTCCAAGGTCAATATTGTGGTGCCACGCTCGTGCTAGGCAAACAATTCAGATTTAAGTCTATTGCTTCATATATTTAGTTAGTTTTTTTCTATTTATGAACTTGCATTTACTTTAATACACTTATCGATGCATCAGTAAACCTTAATGGTGGAGGTTGTAAGCGTAATCACATCTATGAATGTAATGACGGCAGTTCCCAAATTTGCGATTATGGTCCTTGTACTAATGATTGCAGTGTAAATGTTCTTGTGACTAATGAGTTCTGCTGCCCGGATAAAGAATGCAAAAATTGTAAAGGCCAAGTATTGCATTAATTAATGTAAACATTATATTTATTAACTTAACTTTTTTACACATGTAATCACAATAATGTTTTAAGAAATAGTCTTCTATATTTTAATAAATGATATCACTTGTAATATTTAGCATGAATAAAGGTAAATGATATCCCTTGAAATATTTAGCATGAATAATGTACTAGTTAATAATTATGATGAATTACTCAAATGGAATTGGAGTTGGCTAAAAATATGTTTGTAAATAAAATCAATACGACAATGCACTTAATAAAGAAAATAAAATAGCATGTGAGTTGTTGCATAAAAATTCATGCTTAGAATATATATATTATATGTTCTAAGCATGAATTTGAATACATCAACAATAATGCAACATCAACCAATAGATGAGAGTTCAAGTTGGAAGTCAAAGTAAATTGGGGTATGCCTCCTAGTAATATATCGCAAGGTCTACAATTGGGAGTAGAGCTGTTTGCTACTTAAGAAATTTTGATGTATTAGGTTAGTTTTTAACAAGATAGATAATTAAAGCAGCATTAC